GCAAATCTTTTATTTCGCCGTTGCCTCCGTTTCATTTCTTATTTCCGTTGCATGGCCGCCGCCGTTGGCTTTTTTATTTGTTCTGCATTAAATTAACATCAATAAAATGTTGCCTCTGCGGGCCAGAGGCCCTCCCCGGCTGGACTCTTTCTTCCGGGGTGTCCTGGACGCCCTGGTGTCTTGCTGCTGCACTTGTGCGTAATTTGAAGCTAATGCCAACATGTGCTGCGATTTGTCCTGCCACTCCTTTCCCGCCACTTGTTCGACATCTTTGTCCTTAGATTCCTATTAGTCATTTCCTTATTTTCGGTGGGACACTTGCGTCTGACAGATCAGGAAGGAGTTCTGAAAAAAAAATCACAATTGAATGCCAAACTTATTGAAACTTCTGGACTGTGAATTCTATATGAATGATTAAGTATACATTCTAGATTTCTCTTCTATCTACTACTCCCCATAAATAATGCAACTAAGCCCGCACCAGGAATGCCCAAGCACACCCAGCAAAGACTCTTCTTATTTTATTTCCGCCCTCGAAGAAATCCTTGGCTCCGTAGATGATAGATTCCCATCGCATTCAGCGCATGTAAACATCGGCTTTTGTTAATCAAATTAAGTGCAAGTTAATGGAGGGGCACAGGCCCATCCACTCCCAGCACCCACCGCCGCCCCAAATATCTTTTTACAAGAGTTATTACCTTCCATCAGGATCCTGCGCTGTTTGCACACTCGAAAATGATGAATAATAAATCGCTAATCATAAATATTGCGAAATCAGGCGAAAAAACCGAACGAGGAGAGAAATGGCTAGCAGTGCGAAGCTCCCTCCCCACCCACTACTTTTTCACGCTAAAAAGCAAAACAATACCAAAAGTACACATTGTTAAATTGAAAGGAAACAAATGTAAAATTTATACAGCTGCAGTGCCCAGAGAAAGCAGGGCCACTGGAATGCAGAATCAAAGACCGGGGGTGGCCCTGCCAGCCAGCCACATTATCGAACCCTGAAGTGGTGGGATTTCAAAGTGGGGCGCAGCTTCCGATGAAAGCAGGGATATGATTAATTTTCTGTAATCGAATTGATTGGATTAATGTTGAGAGGACAGGCTTGGGCTGTGATACATGGCGGCGAATAAAAAACATTTTAAATGGTCTAGAATACCGCTTGGCATTAGTTGTTAAGAACCGTTTTGTGTCCCTAATCAGCCCCGAATGTTATCTGACCACAATTACGCACCCCAAGCCTTCGCCCTCTGGCCTTACCGAAGTAATTAGCGTTTGAGGAAAATCAATACAATCTGATCTGGAACAATCAACAAGCGCAGGCCGAAACGAGTCCGAATCAAAATCCGGACCAAGTTACGTGTTGCGGGCCACAAATGCCAAATTGTCCAAAGGGTAATCAAGCCAAGAGCTAGTGGCCAAGTACAAAAATCAAAATCTACCAGTCGTCCAGCTGCCAAGTCTCCCATGGCAAGTGCACTGACAGAAATTCAAGACCAATTGTTGCATGTCATTGAGGATATTCTACAAAATCATGGTATAGGTCAACAGATTTTCCTTCCTGTGTAAAATCCTGACAAAAGTCAAGTGCTGGTAGTTGGCTGATTACAGTTACCAAAAAACGCTTGGCTGGCCAACGGCGAACGGCGAACAGTTAACCGTCGTCACTGACCAGATCGCATTGAGCAGTAACAGTTAAAGTAACGGTAACGGTTACGGTAAAGGTAAATCTGTGGTCTCACCAAAAAGTATCCGCAACATTTCGGTATCGCCGATACGAAAGGCAAAATACAAAAGAAAAGTGCATTTAATTAAATTTCCTGTGTGAGGGGCGGGGGTGCGCAGCAGAAAGCATTGCCTACTTAGTGGGGCGAGGCAAGGAACTGAAACTGTTGCACATGCAGCCACAAAATGTTGGCTGCTGCTGACACCGCCAGAAAGCAGCCGCCAACCACCGCCGACCGGGGAGCCGCTGGGAGCCACTCGGAGCCACTGCTGCACAAATAGCGCAAATAGCAATAACATCAGCTACATCTACGGCCGGGGACAAGAACAACTAAACCCAAACAATTTGCAGCATCTTGCCAAGAAACACACTGGAATACACACACACACCGAAAACACAAACTAGGAGTGTAAGCAATGTCCTGGCAAATCGAATATCGAATAGGAAAGACTCTTAAGTGAACTAGGACTTAAGGAAGAAGCCTGAAGAGAAGAAAGCTCTGTGCTTTTAGAATATCTTTCAAGATCCTTAAATCCTTAATAATCACTTGCTTAAAAACCACTTTTAATATTCTAGAATTTCTAGAAATCGCCCCATTTATTTCTTTCCAAAATCTATTCAAAAAGCAAACGTTTCTGGTTAGGGTATTGTGAGAAACTGCTGTTCGTGGACAGCAAAATGGCTCTGCGAATTGTTGCCACATTCAGCGGAAATGCAAGCTGTGTCGGCTATATGTTGTAGTCCTTGCCGATGCTCCTGCTGCTCCTATTCCTGCTCTGCCCGGACCTGAGAATGTTGTTGTTGTTGTCTTTAGGAGTCTGTCTGGTGGCAGGGCCCATGAATATTCATGGCGTTTGCCGGGGCAGTCATTCATTCATTCGTGATTTCACGCAACCGACGAACTGGGGAGCTGCGATGCTGGCAGGCTGGCCAGGAGCTGGGGAACAGCATCCTTCCAAAGACGCTGCGGAAAACAATGAAGAGGAATGGCAAGACAAAACATGAAGCCAAATAAATAAACAAATGTCAAGCCATGTTGCAGGGGGCGGACACGAAAGCCAAGAAATTGGCGTGAAAATAAATCAAGAAATAAATTGGAAAATTTGTTATTTCAACGAGTGAACAGGAATAGTTTGCAGGCAAATGTTAGTTCAGACAATGCTAAAAGGATTCGATTTGCTGGCGAATAAATTGATCGGAATCGGTTGAGGTTTTTGGGGGGCGGTTACTTGTTCCATTACTGTGACAGGATATCTTTTAATTTGATCGGAGATACCCCCATTTCTTAATATTTAAGTGCACCTATAAACTATATAAAGTGATAAGATATTCTTCAAGGCAACAGTTCCTTCTTCCACAATCTTATTTTATGGATTTTTCCTTCCCTCTCAAGAGCTTCCTGTGCTCCCTCTTTAAGGTTAAGTGCCGGGTTAAATGCATTCCCATGGCCTGCAGCTCTCCCATTTCCACCTCAATCGCCTTTTTCCTGTTCTCAATAACAATTCGCCTGGCCCACAAAGCGAAGGCCAATTAAAATGTCCTTTAAGCGTTTCTGCAATATTAATTAACATGCACAGGGCATACGCACCCGGGAGTTACAAAAAATTAAGTATTCACGGGAAAGTGTACTGTATGCAATGTTTGGCAATCGACTTTAATTGAGACGGCCCCGGGTCGAAGCCATGGTTCGGGCAAATGCCTTTATTTAATTGCAAAATATTACATTTTTAAACAATATCCATTAAAAGTGGCAGTTGCTGCTTAAGTTGCAGTTGCATTTCCCACCCAACCCCGACCCCCCGTATCAACTGCCAAAGGTAATCAACTACCGGGAGAAAGTCGCATTCGCAACGAAAATGTTGGAAAAAAAGCAGAGAAATCCTTTTAATGCTGTCCATGTGCGTTGTGGGAAAAGTCTGGGGGCCGCCGCCCTTGTCTGGGTCTGGGAAACACAAGTTCGCGTCTGGACCTTTGTCCTTTGCCAAGAGCCGAGTGGATTCCAGCCTGCGCCCGGGACTGGGGACTTGGGACGACTGTGACTCGAATGGGGTCATTTACTTTGAGTGTTCGACGCTCATTTAAATGCAAATTTAAATGAAATTTTAATCCGGTTTTAAGGACCCAGTTGGACACTCGGCCGAGGCCCAAGCCTTTGATGTTACAGCTCATCTCGCTGATTGCCTTGGGGGAGTTTATCGGAAGGATGTTCGATTGTAGAACCTTCTGGAGACCCCGCTGATCGATAGACTTCAGAACTAGCAAGACTAGCTGAAGACTGGAAGTTAATTTTTTTATTTAAAAAAAATAATACAAAAGCCCCTCTGATCGGAGCGAAAATCTTCTTAATATCTGGTCCATCCAATTACCATTTAATCGCAATCTCTTCAACGCCAGCCACTCGTGAATGGAAATCCTTAACTAAGTTAATGCCCGACCACAATTCCGCTATAATGACGCGGATGATGACGATGCTGCCGCACCTGCATCAGCGGGATATAGACTTTCGATCCCTGGGAGCATCGTCATCATCGGGTTCCCCCCGTGCGTACACTGATTGCATTTTGTGTCATTCAATGGATTTACTCTCGCGGAGCTGTGTCCACCATCAGGCATAATTTACAGCGCATTAAAGCCCCCGCCGATGATGATTTATTGTTGTCCTTGTTCGGCCGTGTCCTGCGACCTGCCGCTCCACCGCAAAAACATATTTAAAACCAACGTATTTATATTTAATGAACAGCAAAGGGGTGGATAAAAAATCAGAGCTTAACCATGTTACAATGCTCGGGAGTCGGACAAATTATGAAGTTTCCTCGGTAATCAGTGTGCGCGGGAGTGCGTTTCTGTTCTCCCCCAGACTGTGTGTATGGGGGGTGTGTTGTAGTGTTTGGCGAGTGCCATCGACAGACGATTACTGTCCGAGGTTTTCCCGGAAGTGGGACTTTGCGGTGCCATATGTGCATGTTCAAGAACTACGATATGGCTTAATGGCGGCCAAACATATGCATTTTGGGAACACAAATCAGAGTCAAAAAATGTTGTAAACTGGTGTGTGATTGCAGGGCTTATTGTGTCTTCATTATGCGGCAGGATACTATTTTCTGTACTGGTTTTTGATAGTGAATCGTCCTACGAATCTTTTCAGTTATTCGTGGACTTGGATTATCTTTATGAATTTCTAAAACCTTTCTTTCTTTCTTTAGTCTATCTATTCATTACTTTAATGGCATTTCGCTTTACTAACCAATCCTGTCTTTTCACAGGACACAAAATGCACTTGAAACTCAACGATGAAAGCTCGCCGTCAACGGTGGCAGGGACAACGGCAACGACATCGGGACGAAGCAGTTGGGATGGCAACGATGGCAGCGGATCCGGATCGGGATCCAGACCCGACTCACTGCTAACATCCTCGACAGCATCGCTGCAACCGCAAGAGCCGGAGGAATACTCCCGGAGGTCGGGACCCGGACTGCTGCTCTTCCCGGGTACCGCGCAAAGAAATCCGCATAATACCACTGGCAAAACAATTGCAAAAGCTAATGACGACAACGGAACCATTAATCAGACGGCTCCCGTCCGGAGCATTCGCAGTTTTCGGCGACCACCCTTGTGGCAGCCGCCGTCAAAGGATCCGCGCCACGTGGGGAAAGGGCCGGAGGAGCAGGACGAACGCCCCGATGAGACGGCGAGGGATCGTCGAGGGGCCTGCCTGGCCAAAGTGCAGGCCTTTATAATCGAGTTCCTGCAGGGCTCCTCCATACACGGCTTCATTTATTTGGCCAAACTAGGCCTGAATTTCATCGAACGGTGAGTTGTGATTTGCAGTTTGCGATGGAGGGCTTTTCCTGGCCCGCTGGATGGGATTGGTTAATGGAATTGCACACATGATGGGCATGAGCGTAATAGAACCTGTAGGGGGAACAATAGCTCTCTATTTTCCACTTTCAAGCATGGGACTCGAAAATTAAAATTCAAGATACACCTTCCCCAGCTCCGCCGAAAATGACCCCAGCTCTCTACCCAAAATGTCAGAGCTCCTTCAGCCTTGATCTTACTAACCAAATATTGGGCTAAGCGGCCGCAACAACTCAGTCAACATTTCCACTCAATTAATTGCCAGGGAAATTAAAGCAAAGCCTCATTACGGGCCATAACCAAACCAGAACCAAACCCGAGCCAGCGGAGACCGCAAGTTAAACTTTTACACAGGATTACGCCGGGAACTAACCCCTTCTGGCATCCATAAAGTGGGAAACTATAAGTCGAGGACTTAAAATAGGACGCGGCCACGTGCAGAGATTCCGATACGAGTCCTGGAGCAGGGAAACCTCACAGGGAAAAGGGAAGTGCGTGTCGAGTCCCCTTTTCGGAGGAGAAATCTATTTTTCTACATATCTTGTGGGGGAAGGAACTGTAGTAATAATTTTGTTGCTGAAATTTGTATTTTTGTGCGGTGCAATAAATCCTTAAAACTGACATGACATGACAAACAGGATTACACACTCGCCAAGGAGGGCAGGAGTCTCCCTCGCTTTCGGCCCAGTCTGGCCCTGGCAAGGCTTAAATTGGCAACACTCCACGTAATGGCCGACAGGAAAGGGCGGCCAAGGTGGGCGAAGGGTGGAAAATCTGTCAGGACTGCCGGCTGAGGGTTAATTAGTGGATAACAGCCAGGCCAAGGACAGGGCCAAGAAGGCACTGAGGAAAAAGGTTAATAGAATTTCTACAATAATGATGTGTATGATTGTAGTGCTTACATCAATTTTTATTAGTTTTCTTTCAGTGTAGTTACCCCCCTTCGAAATCATGAAGCTCAATTACAATTATTGTTAGTTTTTCTGCAATACCTGAAACAGAACTGACAGGTGTTGCTCAGGGGGTGGCCAGAAGAAAGCGAAGGTGAAGCGTGTGAAAGGTGTATAGGAGGTCACGCAAAGCTCTGCTTTAATTAATACACTTTCCCCCAAAAGCCTTCCTGCTAATGATTTGTTGGGCAGTCGAAGAGCACATTCTTCTCGGAAATTTATTTCTCCGACCGATTCCACTTGGCACAATTTAGATTTATTTGGGCCTCCGCCCCGAGAACCCCGTGAACAGAACGCCCAAATATGCTTCACCATGGCGAAAAATCAGCTTGTGACGCACAAATTTCTGGATTATGCAGAACTCTATGCCCGACCAGGCTTAAGCTTCGCCCGGCCACCCTTGCTCGTCCTCGGAACTAAAGTATTTTTAGGAAAAAATATACATAGGTGTATGAAAACAAGCTGGGGACAGAAAAAAAACAGGGAGGAGATATGCATAAACCTGAGAGAAAGAGTCTGTGTCGCTGACATGTGATAACCTCAATTTCACTAGCGTTGATATGGTAACTATGAGGGCTTAGCACGAGCCACCGACCCACCGACCCACCAACACACCAACCACCCACCCTTCAGTTTCCGGGTGGCTGCGACAGGTGCACGATTGCATAATCCACAACCGAAAACTGCAAATGCAAATGCAAAACACGCAGCGGCCCAGGACGCACAGGATTTGCATGGTTTTGGTCGGGGTCCTGAAATCCATGGCAGGGCATCGAGCTTTCGAGTGTCCTTAAATGTGGTGCAGCTTAAATCCTTCATCGGTGGTAATTCAGATATTTGGAAATCGGAAAATTTACATAAATATAAGCAGCTATTTGAACTGTCTTCCAAATTTCAAAAAAAAAACTAGGGAATTCGAAGTGATGTTTGAAATATTTAAAAGCCGAGCCCCCCTTAGACTTTTTCTAATTGAATTCCCAAGGAATCACAATTGGATGGCTTTGACATATATAGTGTTATATCACATGCTCTTCAATCACATAGCTCTGCAAGAAAGTATGTGAGAAGTGCTCTAATCGGAAAATCAGCCTCCTGCCTGCCCCCCCTTAAAAATAAGAAGGGAAACAACCCTCTGGGGCGATCTCTCCAGGACTCAGCCTCCTCGGGCATCAGGACATATTTGTCGGGCATCAACTATGCATCACTGAGCCTTATTCACGCACAAATTTTATGCATATGAGTGTCGAGATGATGAAACAAAGCAAATACATAAATTGCAGGCCAGACACGAGTCAGATTCGAGTCGGTGAGTGGGGAAAAGCGGAAAAGTGGTTGGAGGAAAATGGAAAAATGGCTGTGTGGAAATGACAATGAGGCTGTCATATGTGTGACGTCCGAAAGGAATTTGTGGTGTTAGACAAAGTACACAGCACTCGGCTGTCAGAGGAAGAGAAATAATAAAGAGCTGGAAAATGCTTGGGGCGGGAAATTAAAAGCCAAGTTCGGGTGTGCGCCGAAAGCTTTATGAACCATTGCTGGCATCAAAGTGTCATTGTCGGGGAAATGGGAAATTCTCCAAAGGATTTTTGGCGACTTCTGTCTGTGTCCTCGCCAGTTAGCAGGACCAAACAAAAAAAAGACAAAAAGGACAAGAAGGAAAGGGTTGCAACGGCATAGATGCGTTCATTGACTCCCAGCCATAATTCTTTTCCGGCGAATTTTTCTCCTAAAAATTTACACGCGATAGATTTTTATGTTCTCTGCCAGACTGAGCACACAACAGCTCTGCGAATTACTGAGCCGATTTCCATATATCATTTCGGACCTCCAGGCATTTGTTTTTTATTCAAAAATATAATGCAACCTTTGTTTTCAGGATGCTTTGGTTTGCCTTTATCTGCGTGGCTCTCTTCAGCATCATATCCTTGAGCAAACGGACTTGGCATCGCTTCCAGACCTCTCCCATGGTCATATCCATGGATCGGAACAAGCTGGTGTGGAACACTAGCTTTCCCTCGCTGACGGTGTGTCCGCACAAGAGAATCGACGAACTGAAGGTCGAGGAGTATATCCTGTGAGTTTTCCCCTTCCCTTTGCTAGTTTGCCTAAACATTCATGGTGCACCCTCTTGCAGCACCCATCCGGAGCAGTTTGAGTCCGAGGAGGATCAAGAGGATTTCCGTGATTTTATTGTGAAACTTGCCAGCCTCACATACGACAACTTGGAGACCTTGCCGCTGAACAAGTCGTATGGGATACCCAGCTCCAAGTACTTGGATCTGCTCTACGAACTGAAGTGGCCCTTCGAACCGGAAATCAGCAGCGGCGCCGCCGTCAAAATGTTCATATACGAGACGCAAACGGAGTTTGGCATTTGCCACTCCGTCAACTCGTTGGTGGCGCGCTACAATTCCTTTGAGTGAGCCAGGACCCTTTTATCCCCACTGCCAAAAGGAAGTGGCACTGATTTTACGACTCTTTGACAGCTACTGGCGCTCCGGCGATTGGAGCCTGATGGACCACGGGGATCGGGTCACGGTGCATCCCCTGGACGGCGAGATCTACGCCCAGATTATCAACCTTTCAACAGCCTACGACGTGTACTTCCACGGAGCCGGCGATGTCCCCAGCATATCCAAGCAGCGGTACACCTTTCCGGAGAGTGACTACACCACGGTGGAGCTAATAGCCCTGGAGATCTACACCAACGAGGAGGCCAGAGCGTGAGTTGTGGTACTCGGGAGTGTTTCATTTATTTTATGTGTGTTTTTTAGTTTCAACACCAAGCAGAGGAGCTGCCGCTTCAACTACGAGGCGGAGGACATGCTGACGGTGCCCATCTACAGCTTCGGGCTCTGTCTCTCCGAATGCCGGCTCTTCTTCGCCCTCCGTGTCTGCGGCTGCATTCCACACTTCTACCGGAACCGCTGTGGGTATAATCATATTTTCGGACACAGAGTTGCACTTAATTGGCCACCATTAAAGTTAACTTTTACGCCCCGGTTTCCCGAGTGTCCGGTGTCCTGCACCAGGATGCATCAAAGCTGTCCGGTTTATAGCGCAAATTCGGTCGTAAAATGTTTAAACCCTTGGTTGTTTAAGTGGCAAATTTTGCACGATTATCCATCTCGTGGCCCCTCTAAGCTTAATCGTACCTTTTTTTCTTGGCCAGTGCGAAATGGACGGAAGCTGCCGGTTTGCGGACTCGAGGGTATCGGATGCCTGGTCAAAGTTAAACGTGAGTAACTCTAGCCCCCTCTAGGTCACTCCTAGGACATGCAAATATTCTCTAGGACCCTAAAATTCGATTTGCATTTCCATCCAACGTGACCATAATTTAATTTGTTGAGGGAAGGACGATTGACAACCTGTTGAATATTTGACGAGTAATTGGGAAATATTTCGGACAGGTTGACTTTGACAAGATGCTTAAATATTTACGATAGCAGGATATTACCAGATATGGACTTGCCCCATATGGACTGAATTTCAAACTGGAATTTCTATTTCGCAGGCGAGATAATCTCCTTGAAGTCGGACAAGTACAAAATCAATTGCAACTGCTTGGCCAACTGCGATGACTCCAACTTCTTCGTCCAATCCTATGTAAGTACAAACGCACCCTCATAATAATAGTCGTAAAAATAAATGAAAAAATTGGGGAATCCGCTTTTAAAAATATAAAGTAAACTTTAACTGTAAAAAGGTTTATGGCAAACAGAAGCGCCATCTAGTGCTCGTTAAGTGGCAACTGCAGATGCCGTTGCGTCGCGCATTTCAAGTGGAAAACTGCCCGGAAAACTGTGAAAAATCCGCCGGGCCACAGAGGTGGTGGTGGAGCTCGGAGGGGAGGTAAAGCTGCCCGAGCATTTCGGGAGCATTTGCCTTAAACAAACATCAAAATTGTAGTCCGGGGCTATAAAAAATAATAAGCGCAGAAGTTGCAGGAACTGGGCGCCTTGAAATATGCAATTATTTTGGGCAGAGGGAAAGTCGCGGGCGGAAACCAAAGTTTTGTTTAACTTTTTTTCGCGCTGTGTGCGGCGAAAGTTTTTACATTTAATAATAATTTTTGCTTACTTGCCTTGTTGCCAGTGCGGCATTGACGATAATGATGTTGTTCTTATTCAGCTTTTGCGCCTTTTATCTGCTTATATCTGTATCCTCCACTTTCTTTATTTTCATTGTGCTACCCATTTTCCGGGAACTTCTTCAGCGTTCGCGTGTCTGGTTCCTGGGAGCTAATCTGCAATGGGGCATAATTGATTATCCGAAAATGCAACTGCGCCGGGACGTCCTCTTCTCCTTTGCCGATGTTTTGGGTGAGTCCTTTCCAACTGATATTACTTTCGAAGCCTCTTTAAAAGCCTCTCTTTCTTGTTTCAGTCTATATAGGAGGCCTGGTTGGTTTCTTCTTGGGCTGCAGTGCCTTGAGCTTTACTGAAATAGTCTACTACTTCACTGCCAGATTTGTGCGTCGAATGTTTTTTAATTAACTCTGTCGGTTGGCTAACCATTTTAATAAATAAAGTAAATACATACATATTTTCAAAACCTATAGCTACAGCCAGACATCATTAAAGGGCTCTCTGCCCAATCATGCCCCCAGCAGGACCATCTTTTTATTATCCAAACAAAAACATCGCCGAGCGCCTAATCAATAATAAAATACATTTTGTGCAAAGTTGGCGGAAAACACACCCGAAAAACTTCACAGCCGAGCCCTCCTCTGGATTTTCCACCTCATCATCATTGAACCTTCATTGTCCATGTTTCGTCGCTGGCATTTCAATGAACTATTTGATCCTGCAGTCCAACGGAGGATAGCGCCAGCCCGTCAGAAAGGGCCGCCAAATTGGTCTCCTTTTGTGTTTCTGCTAACCTTGTCGATTTTTATTATTGGGGTCGTCTTCGTCTTGGTCGGCGTCGCCATAGTCCTTGGCAGACATTGAAATGAACTTTTCGTCTTGTTCACATGTTGTTGTGTGTGCTTAATATTTGCCGAATAATTTGTAGTGGCAAGTTATTTTGCTCCGGCCATTGTTTATTTGGGAGGAAGTAACGAAAATCTCCACAGCAATCATGTTTCTTGTATTTGTCTTGACTTTTGCCCAGCTGAGTGAACTGTGACTGTCAACAAGAATGCCGAGACTTGGCCCAAAAACTATGCTTTTGGAAAGGGCTCATGAATTTATGCTAGCTTTTCTCCGATTTTTTTTGGGTTTGTGCCGCATCATCAATAAATGAGTGAGTAATGGTCGAGTAAGTGGGTCAACGGAATGGGGTACTCCGACTCCTTGATTCCGAGAATCGAACAGTCTTTATTTTTCCACAAAAACACAATGCAAAAAATCTACATCTCAATGGCTTCTCATATTTTTTTATGCAAACCACAGCCGGCAATATTTTCGCACAATCAAAGCTCAAAGGAATTGTCAGAGTGTGTGCAATTTTTTTTTTTTGCACCTTTGCCAAAGGGGATAAGGAAAGTGGGCGGGGCAACCACAATCCATACGAGAATTTTCTCGCCACCGCCGGCTGCATTTTAAATGAATAAGCGAAAGGGATGCTCTGTCCTGGCAGGACATGGGGGTTACGCGGCCCCCTAGACTTGGCACTTTGAAGTCTCAGGTTCAAAAAGGGTAGAAAGACTCTTCGCCGCATAAATTTGCGAATTATTGAAATTTATTGTTCAGAATTGCCATTGGCAATGGCAGCTTAAAAAATTGTAAAGAAAATGAGAGTTGGGACGTCATTCTGGGAAAAGCTAACCACTTTCATTGTTCGATAGTCCTAAAAAATGGGGTGTCACCGGAGATCTAATCAATTATCTTGTAAAGTTCGGAAGTTGTGTAAAAAAGAAATACTTAAAATTTAAGGTAAATATTTCAACTGGTACTTCTCATGGTTCTTTTTTAAATTAAAATCAAGAATGCATATAGAACAAGAAAATGTATGTTGTACTGTTTATTCTTCTAAAATTTTAAAATCAAATCTGTTAACCGTGTGCACTGTAGCGCCATCTTTGGGTACTTTTTCGAAGCTCTGAAACTATCGATAATTCTTATCGATATCAGAGTCAGCATTCAACCACCTCTAAGGGACTGGACAAAAACAACAACAACCATTTCTGGAGACGGGGGATTGTGGAAATTTCCGCAAAACAAAATAAAAATAGCATAGACCGAAAACAAGGGCCAGTGCAAACTGCAGAGCAATGCACAAAGGTGCGCCACCCTGGCAAAAGAGCCTCCACAATGCCAACGAAGCAGTGGCCATGGAGGTGAAAGGAAGAAACAAGGTAGTGGAAGAAGAAGCAGGAACAGCATCAACACAACTGATAAGACAAGAAATCTCTGGAAATCCCAAGCGGCTATTACTCTTGGGACTTTTCCTGTTGGCCTATACGATTCCACTGCCGTCATGCCAAGCTACGCACATCAGTGGGAGGTTCCAGACCGCAGACTTTTTCCAGTTCCTGGTAAAATTCGGCTTCAACAAGGCGGACCCCCAGAGGAGAAATCCCTACGGATACATATATGGAAATATAACCTCCACGGACCACTATGCGGCCCCACTGACGCTGGCTGTTTTGGATAGGAGTACTTTCGTAGATTTTTATAGCAATCGTAGTCAGCGGAGCAGGGAAGCAGCCTGCGCGGGGATGTTTTCGCGACTGCAGCACATAGCTTACGATGCCAGGTGTAATCCACACGCCAAGAGGGACTTCCTTAGGCACATACCCTGTCCGAAGGGCGAACTCTGCAGCGACGAGGATGCGCCGAGCAACGTTATACCCGGTTTCCAGTTTACCTACGTTATTAACTTGGAGGCGGAGCCCAGGTGAGCTGGAGAGAACTTTCCTTTTTGTGTAACTTTCTTATAACCCATCCTTTGCTAGATTCTGGTACGTCTCCTTAGTAGCCTGCTACCAGAACCAAAGCACTTGCCAGTGGCACGCGCACGAAAGCATCCCTCGGCTGAGCAACCTGAGTAGCAAGCTGCTAAACACAATAAGCTACGACATCCACCTGGTTAACATTCATCCCAACAACTCAGCCGCACATCCCTTGACCTACCAGTTCCCCTATGATCAGCAAAATCTGCTGGAGATGTACCTCGTTTTCCTTCTGGTTTACATTGTTCTGCTGCCCCTCCAAATCTACGCAGTTAGACGCCAGAAGCATCCGGTAACGAAGCTGTTCACCCTAAGTCTGCTAAGCGAGTTTGTCAGCTTGGCTCTGATAACTGCCCACCTGATACGTTACGCGGCGAACGGAGTGGGCGAGCCGCGACTGCAGGCGGCGGGAGATGTGCTAGATATTCTCAGTCGCACCAGTTTCATGCTTATTCTGCTGTTGTTGGCCAAAGGCTGGGCGGTGACATGGCAGCAGATCAGCCGAACGGGCTGGATCATTCTCATGTCTATCTGGGTGCCATATTGCGCGTTTCATGTGTTCCTATACATCTGGGATAGGGTGAGTCCAGCACCTCCTTCCATGTAAATGTGGCAACTATAACCTTTGGTATGTTTTCAGACGGAAGTTGATGTTGTTTCCGATATAGACGAGTACCAGACCTGGCCGGGATGGATTGTGCTCATACTCCGGTAAGTTTAGAGAGTATTTCTACAAAGTACGCTCACTATTCTGACGGCTTTTGCCCATTTCTAGCACCTCCTTTATGATGTGGTTCCTGTACGAGCTGCGCAACACCATGAAGTACGAGCACTCCAGTAAAAAACTGGACTTCCTTTTGCACCTGGGCGCCTCCAGCTTGGTATGGTTTATTTACCTGCCCATCGTGGCCATTGTGGCGCTGCAGGTCAGTCCCATGTGGCGCTACAAGCTGCTGCAAGGTATCACCAACTCGGCCGACTGCATGGCCTACTGTGTGATGACTGGCTTACTGTGGCCACACCGGGCGGGTCAATACCTGCTCTTAGCGGGCACCAAATATGCCGGTAGGTATGGATAGTAAATGGAAAAAGATTTTACTTTAATGGATCTTTTACATTGCAGGCATGGATGAACTAGACGAGTTCAACGAAGCGCCGCACATCGTCAGGGAGCGTGAGAGGCGGCGGAACTCGCCACCCGATGATATTTCCATTGGCACTGGGAGTGGAGGCCGGGGCATGGTCTTGTCCACTAGCATTCCACACTCCCTCAACGGTGACGCGTGCAACGATCTGCTGGAGGCCGAGGATCTGGACGCAGAGCTGCTCACCGATCTTAACAAAAACAGCCACATTATAGCGTAGATGCAACCCACGGGTTAAACACTATTTGTAGTAGTCAATTGTGCTAAAATGAAGCAGGGATTGTTAGTCATCCTGTCACATAACCATAGATATAGCAGAGTAAGAGTAGATTGGTTTTACAGAGGGTCATCTACACATCTACACTGTAACCACTCTGCGCTAGTTATCTGCGTGTATATTCCACATAGTTAGTAGCCACCTACAACGAAGTCTAGCGAAGATTGTTGTGTGATTCTTATTGTAATATGCTTGAATTTATAATTAGTTTCTAGTGTTATGGTAATGCATAGGACAACGATTCGATTCGATACGCTTCAGCATCATCATTCGGTTGCTTAGGCTTACATTTTAATCGATCACCGACTCTACCTATAAAGATAAGCGCATCCAACAAAAACCAAGCGGTATTCGATAAGAACAAACCAAACAAGAAAAAATAAAACATGAAACGACGAAGCGAAGATAGTGAAATAAATAACTAAGTTTTAGATAAGTACAACACTAGGGTCTTTGATTTGTTTCCCAGGTTGTGCTACTGATTAGTGGCGCAACTTCTTATCGCTTATCAAACGGGTTTTGTGAGTTGGAACTTTAAATACTCTTGTACCCAAATATTAGTTGCATTTAATTATTTGGTATTAGAACCTTTCAAAATTGAAATTATGTTGATTTTTGTTTATTATGAATTTATTGACTTTATCTGAAATGTATTAGTTATTTTAGGCTCGAAATTCTTTATTTTTTTGGAGATTGTACTATACTACTTGTAATAAAAGTCTACTTTGATTATAGTTTTACCCTTTTTGTCCTCGTACTAGTCGCCTATTTTTAGTTTGAAAATCCTTGACTCTTGTAGTATTTAATCTCTATTTCCTATTGCATGTCCTGGCAGTATTAACACTTCCCAGATTCCCGTGGGAGTCCTGTAGTGACCCTTGGCCAAACAAATAAGCTGATATTGATTTCAGGATTCAGTTGAGACCTAATCCTTCCGCAGCATGGGTGGCTTGACTCTCCTACGGATTTTCTTTGAAGTCAGTCGCCTGATTGGACTGAGCAACCTGCACTACGATCCCCGGAAGCAGTACTTCAGGCATGACCATGTGCCCACCATTGCCTACTGTCTGCTCCTGGATGTGGCCTACGTTTTGGTCCTGCCCTTCGCCACAGTCATTCTGACAGGCAATATCTACAAGTGTCCGGACACGGGCATGTTTGGAATCGTCTACAATGTGGTGGGCTTGGCGAAGCTGGTAACCGTCGTCCTCCTCATGGGCAGTGTATGGATCCAGAGGCGCCGATTACAGTGCCTGGGCAATGAGCTCCTGGCCATGCTCCGCAGGTTCAGCTTCTCGTTGGGAAATGATTGCCGTAACCGTTGCCTGTGGAAGCTCCTGCTTACAAGCTCCCGGTTTGTTGTGGTGGCGCAGCAGCTGATGCTTCGGGACTCCCTCATCAAATGTAAAATCAGTTCAAAGCTCCTAAGAGCTATGGCTCCACTATTTTCGGCTGCCATGGTCTTCGCCCTTCTGATGCTCCTCCTCGTAAGCTATGTGGACCTCACGGTGTACATGATCCAGGTCAGCGGGAACTGGCTGCTGGAGAATATGTCTCAGAATGTCCGCGAAATGGTCCAGGACCTGAAAACTTTTCCCAAGCGGAATGGTCGCATCCGGAAAATAGGGTTGAAGCAAGTGATGGGCGCCTGGCAGCGTGTTTGGAATAGATGCCTGCGTTTGGATAGAGTTCTCCAGCAGCTCTTGGAGATCTTTCAGTGGCAGCTGCTCTTCAACCTGCTAACCACCTACATCTTCAACATAGCCATCCTGTTCCGGTTGTGGATCTACCTGGAGTACGATCAGAACTTCCATTTGTGGAAAGGCATCCTTTCTGCGGTTATGTTCCTCGTCCACCACGTTGAGCTCATGATGCAGTTTTCCGTTTTTGAAATTAATCAGAAAAAATGGAAGGAGCTTTGTGACTCCATAGAAAGACTTTGGTTTGTGACTTATTCTGATACCCAGTATGAAAACCGACTGGAATTGGTGTTCTCCAGGAAGGTAGGTATTAAGAAATATCGGTGTTTTTAAAAACCCTGTTTTTTTCAACTTTTCAGCTGGAGTTTTCCCTTTTATATTTAAACCGGAAACTTCAGAGGCAACCTCAGAGGGTGCGGCGTCTTCACATAGCAGGATTGTTTGATTTGAGCAATTCTTCAGTTCATAAAATGACCCGATCGGTCCTGAGCAATGTCCTGGTGCTTTGTCAGATTGCGTACAAGATTTATGGCTAAGGACCAAAACTTTATTTCGAACTCACCCCAAAGCTTTGTAAAAGCTTCAAAATCAGAGCTGGGGTATCCTTTTCGATTAACTTTGTGTCCTTTTTATTTCACAGACCTCAAGCCATAAATTCCTGTTGGAGACTTTGTAACTTTATCCACCATAAAATAAAGCTTTATGCCATAAAATATCCTTATTTTCGAAAAGCTAAAAGCTACTATAAATGGTTTATTGAGGACACAAACTTAGTTTGGGAATCTTGAATCTATTCACTGGTGTTTCTGCTCAATTGTGTGAGATATGTATGTTCGTGTGGCTGGTTGTTCTGCCTCAAGTCGAACTGCATCAGGATAATAACTTGGGTCAGGACCGAGCCAATATAGCTGAGGCAAGCCGGCTTGTCCAGCTCCACAAGACCGCAGATCTTGTATACCAGTCGATTGCGCCTCACCTCCATCGTAAAAATGTCCAGCTTCAGGGAAGAATCTAAAGTATTGAATCATGATTTAAACAACTCACTTACCTCCTTCTGAAAGGACTTGCTGACGCGTGGCAGATCGCTGAACTGTTTTAGATGCTGACCGACATTGTTGCACGAAGTGACCACCTTGTCCAGCATATTCATCATCATCATAGTGCCCCAGAAGTTGAAAATAATCAAGCCGTTTCCAAAGAGCATGCCCCAGATGCTGGACTTTATGGTTTCATTGCTGAACTGGACAGCATGGTATAGGATATTTACGGTGGTCATGAACATGTTGGTGAACAGTGCAGCATTGGCTATGTCGCAGAGGGCAAAGATTCTCCTGGCCAGCTGAAATGTTTCCCAGTGCATTGAAGCTATGCAACGGAGGGCACTCACTCGCTTTTTGTCCTTCCGGTTGTGCAGACCATCCAGTGCCAGGTGGACGACCCCAAACTGATTCTCCAACAGTATGAGGACTCCATAGAAGGCCACTTTGAAGGCAACAAAGTGAAAGAAATGCGATATCCTAGCCGCCAACGCCATTAGGCTGAACTTATTGACAACTCCGAGGAGTTGGTACTGGATTACCGTGGAGAACATGGTTGTGGCATAGCTCACTAGTATCTGCGTCAGAATCTTCTGGGCTAGTGATAGTTGAAGCTCCTTAAGGTCGTTCCTGTCCACTTGGGCCCTCAAAAGGCTTCTGTGTTTTTTCCAATAATCTATTGCATCCTCGTACAGTCCAATGATTTCCTTGCGTTTCACCCAAATGGTACCGTAGCAGCCCAGAAGAGCCATTACCCGGAGTCCAGTCATCATGAAGAAGTTCCCTTGCAGTATGATGTTGGACTTAATGTAGCCATCGAGTATGGCTTTGGGAAACAGGAAGTAGATGTTAAGGAAAAGGGTGCTGCTCAGGAAGACACTGTAGAGCAAGTATTTCCAGGAAAGCTTCTCCAGGCGAACAGTTCTCCGCCAAGAACGTATCCTCAAGGTAGTGCCCAGCAGAGCGAAGACAAGGGCGTGAAAGTAGACCAAGTTCATCGCGCGACCCAGTTTCGGATGCAACATGTTGTTTGGGTAAAGGCAGCCGGTTAACTGGTTGTATAATATACTCATTAGGAAAAAGTCGACCGTCAAGCTCCATTAGAAGGATAATGAGTTGACAGGTTGTGCGATTTCCGGGAGGATAACCCGCGCTTCCATCGATTGCCGGTCAGTTGCCATTCGTCGCTTGCCGGTGAAAGTTGGACGAAATGCTGCTAAAATACTTTTATATTTGCGGTCTAGCCTGTGGACTCGTACCTGCTCCTATCAACAATAAGCAGTTCTCCAAGGCTTCTAGGACCTACCTTATTTACACCGCCTGCCTGCATGGACTGCTCCTGATCCTTCTGCCGTTTACATTTCCCAGATATATGTACGATGCCAGCTACATGAGACGGAATCTAGTCCTTCAGTGGGCCTTCAGCCTCACCAACATCACAAGGATCATGGCCATGTTTTCTGGCTTTTTTCTTACTTGGGGAAAGAGAAAGAAGCTAATAGCTTTGGAAAAGGCTTTCTTAGCCCACTGTCTGGAAGTCAGGGAACTGGAAGACGATTCTTCTGGTTTCTCCAATCTTAGGCGGAGAATTCGCGGCCTGCTGCTTCATCAATTTATTCTCTTGAACTTCACGCTTGTGGTGTGTACTCTTCTGCTTATGCGGATAGATACGGATCAGGAATTCAACTATCTCCTGATGATATTGGTCCACGTCCTGCAGTTTACATACATTGTCATCATGACGGCAGCTCTGCATGTGATCCTTTCGCTGCTCTTCTGGCAGCAGGAGCGGGTAAACTTGGCTCTCCAGGATCTCTACTCTGCGCTGAACCACGAGGAGCGAAACTCCCTATGCCTGTCCAGAACCATAGCCACAGAATCAGTGCAAGTCATGCGGAATCTCCTTCAGTTGCACTCGGAAAACCGGAGACTGCTGCGACAGATTCTCAAGGAGCTGGACATTCCCATTGCCATGCTGCTCTTGAAAATGTTTGTGACCAACATCAACCTGGTTTACCATGGTGTGCAATTCGGGAATCACTCCATAGAAACCACCATCCTGACCAAAATCTTGGGACAACTGGTTGTGGTTTCACATTACTGGAGCGCCGTATTGCTGATGAACATTGTGAATAATGTCACGCAAGCCAGTGGCCCCAAAACGGGCCACATTTTAAAACAATTTAGCCACCTTGAGTTAGTCAAACGCGATTTCCAATTAGAGGTAAGCTTTTCGCCACAATTTGAATCAACATTTTTCACCACTGCAGTATCTTTCAGCTGGAACTCTTTTCGGATCATTTGCGTTGTCATCCCGCCACTTACAAGGTCTGTGGCCTATTTGTGCTCAGCAAGCAGACAAGCCTGGTCTACTTTTTCTTTGTTTTAGTGCAGGTTTTGGTTTTAATTCAATTTGATATGAAGACCAAGTAAAGAACATTAGTAAAGTGCATTGGGAATATTTACCAACACTTATTGGGAGGAACAATGGAAAAGAAACTCACCATGGCAACCTGATAAGCTGCCTCAACGCAAGATGTTCCATTTAAATAAGACTAGATCTAGACGATTTTTCCAATAAAAATATTCAGAAAATACATTTTTACTTTTTCCCATTTCTTAATGGAAAAATGTTCAAAACTCGACTAATACTTGGCAGATCCACAAATGTTATACTTTCCCGATCTTAGCTCTTCTGGCAGCATCCCTTTCAACCAAAACCTAAGAAAAAAATTTGGACCCATTTTTTGCAATTTTTCAAAGGGGTAACATCATGATTTTGGCCAAAAATTGGTCAAAAATTTTATTCATCAACTTTGACACTATTTAAATGCAGATTGAAGGCGACTAAATCCCTGATTCAGGGATGGTATTCCGTTTTTGAATCGGTTGCGAATTAGCTAAAATATTCACTAAAAAGTGACTAAAAAGGTAAATTTTTTTTCCGAAAAAATATGTTAAGCTTTATTCCAATTTTAGGCATTTCTGAGAGGAAAATTGTTGCTCGACTAATACTTGGCAGATTCACAAATGTAATACACTCCCGATCTCAGCTCTTCTGGCGGGATCCTTTTCTATTAAAACCTGGGAACAAAAATTTGAGCCCATTTTTTGCAATTTTTCAAAGGGGTAACATCATGATTTTGGGCAAAAATTGGTCAAAAATTTTATTCATCAACTTTTATATTATTTAAATGCAGATTCGAGGCGACTAGATCCCTGATTCATGAATGGTATTCCGTTTTTGAATTGGTTGCGAATTAATTGAAATATTCACTAAAAAGTGACTAAAAAGGTACATTTTTTTCCAATAAAAAATATGTTAAGCTTTATTCCAATTTTTTGCATTTCTGAGAGGAAAATTGTTCATAGCTCGACTAATACTTGGCAGATTCACAAATGTTATACACTCCCGATCTCAGCTCTTCTGGCGGGATCCTTTTTAATTAAAACCTGGATAAAGAAATTTTGACCCAGTTTTTGCAATTTTTCAAAGGGGTAACATCATGATTTTGGCCAAAAAATGGTCAAAAATTTTATTCATCAACTTTGACACTATTTAAATGCAGATTGAAGGCGACTAAAACCCTGATTCAGGGATGGTATTCCGTTTTTGAATCGGTTGCGAATTAGCTAAAATATTCACTAAAAAGTGACTAAAAAGGTAAATTTTTTTTCCGAAAAAATATGTTAAGCTTTATTCCAATTTTAGGCATTTCTGAGAGGAAAATTGTTCATAGCTCGACTAATACTTGGCAGATTCACAAATGTTATACACTCCTGATCTCAGCTCTTCTGGCGGGATCCTTTTTTATTAAAACCTGGAAAAAGAAATTTGGACCCAGTTTTTGCAATTTTTCAAAGGGGTAACATCATGATTTTGGCCAAAAATTGGTCAAAAATTTTATTCATTAACTTTGACACTATTTAAATGCAGATTGAAGGCGACTAAAACCCTGATTCAGGGATGGTATTCCGTTTTTGAATCGGTTGCGAATTTGCTAAAATATTCACTAAAAAGTGACTAAAAAGGTAAATTTTTTTTCCGAAAAAATATGTTAAGCTTTATTCCAATTTTAGGCATTTCTGAGAGGAAAATTGTTCATAGCTCGACTAATACTTGGCAGATTCACAAATGTTATACACTCCCGATCTCAGCTCTTCTGGCGGGATCCTTTTCTATTAAAACCTGGGAACAAAAATTTGAGCCCATTTTTTGCAATTTTTCAAAGGGGTAACATCATGATTTTGACCAAAAATTGGTGAACAATTTTATTTATCATTTTTTATAATATTCAAATGCAGATTGGAGGCGACTAGAATCCTGATTCATAAATGGTATTCCGTTTTTGAATCGGTTGCGAATTAGCTAAAATATTCACTAAAAAGCAACCAAAAAGATAAATTTGTTTCAAAAGAAAAAAATTTATTATTGAGATATTGGAAATTAAGGAAAATCAGCCATTTTAATGCTGTTTAATTATTTGGCTTTATTGGCGGTTTATTAAAATTTCTTGATAGGAATAATACCTCGCCAAATATTCTGGCTGTTTCCTGTCTCCTGTTGTATTGCTCAGCACATACCATAGGTTATCAAATATTAAAAGCCATTAATCAAATGTATTTTCGTGCCACTACAAAAACCCCAAAGGCATTTCACGGGGAAGACCCGGATGAAGAAGAGCAAGAGGGGCTGGTGGACTCTTCTAAGGAAATGGAGAAAGGTGATTCATTGATTATAAATAAATAAATATGTGCATGTTTGTGTGCCTGGGCCAAAAATCATAATATATTTACCCGCCCCCAGCCGGAGCCAATTAATTCAGCCAGATATCGACAAAATACATCACCTACATGAGCATGCACTGGAAGAAACATTACCTGCAAGAGTGTATAAGGTTCTTGTGAGGAAATGTAGGTTTATGAAGCGTGGTGACATTGCCTCCTTGGTTCTACTGTGTCCTAATCCTGAAACACTGGTGCCTCTTTGTCGGCTGACAAATCAAATTTAATCAAGCTTGCAGCCAGGAAGTCAGGGCCCCCGAGCAGGATTTGGCCATTAAATCTGACCTGCGGGGCTCAAACTATCATCTATCCGATTGCTTAACCCACTCTCGCACTCTCCTGTCCCGGTTCGATATTCGCCAGCTGCTTTTTGTATTAATTCCAATTATACGCACGACTGGGGAATTTTCATTTGGACTGAAAGGATTTTGGGTCATTATGAGCTGCTACTTCATCATTCTTCGTCTGTTCTCCAGCCGCCCCTTCTGTTTCCATTGTTTTCGGCTCCGAACTAGTTCAGGTCAGCCCCCGGCCCCCAGCCCTGGTCTCCAGCCCACGTCCATCCTCGGCCCAATTGGGAAAAGGATGGCCCGACGGACGGGATGGGGTTAATTGGCCAAGGTTTTGTGTATCGATTGCAGCAAGCTGTTCTTGTGACATGGCCGAAACCACAAAACGAGAACAAATAAGATTTCTTTTGGTAACTAATTAGAAAACTGGGCAAGTTTATCCTGCAAACACGCCTCCTCCCCCTTGGACCAATATAATTAGTCCTTTGACACTAATAAACTGAAATGGAAATTATGAAAATTTGTGTCCCGAAAATAGTGCCAAGTCATCAAGCTCTGAAATTGCAATTAACTGGCAACCTCGTCCGATGAACTAGTCCTTTTGCACAGAAATATATACATAATTTGAAATTGAAACTTTTCAAAAATCAATATCCTTTGAGTTGGAAATGTTTTTGTAATTTCAGCATCATTTCAGAAGCCAGACTTTAACGAGAGTTTGACAATGTCGCTGGCGTCCTGGCAAGACGGGTGCCCCATCCGATTCCCGGAGACTTCATCACAGGCCAGTGAACTGAATGGGATACTGAATACTTTTTGCATCCCTGGTTTTTGCATGCCCTTAAAATGCAATTAATTTGTTATAAACTTTTGGCAATAGTTTCGGACTAAGCTTCGCCCAGCATTGAGCCCTCGAAATGGACATGGATAAGTTTTCCGAGACTGGTGGTGGGGGACCGGAAAAACAGTTATCAACACCAGGGGACTGAGGGCGTCGCCCGGTGGAGGCTCAGGGGGAACCACATAGAAGTGGGTCAAGTTATTTTCAACACTTAAAATAAACTCCTGCCCACAGTCTCCAGTTCTTTGCCAAAAGCCTGGGTCTTTCTTTCGCCGCCCGTTTTCTGGGTCATCACCACCCCCTAAATATCCACACCCCCACCCTTAGCCCCCCGTTGTCATCGCTGCTCCCGTCGCCTCGGCGCATAAATATAAATTGTATTGTTTCAAAAAAAAGTTTTCCCTGAGAGTTCTGCGGCCAGCGGAAAAAGTAGTTAAAGTTTTGTTTTCGCCGCTAGTTTATTGCGTGATTTCCTTCGCAATGACAGGCGCTGGGCGGCTTAGTGGGTGGTGGGGGGTCGTGCGGTCTGAGTGGCAGAGTGATAACTGCAAGGAGCAGGCGAGAAGGTGGCGAAAAAACATTCAGCCACATAATTCAGTTTCTGCCAGTGTATTTGTGTGGCTTTTAACAAGTTGTGGCTTCCTTTTTGGGGAAAAAAGATCGCCGAACGAAACGGATGCTGCAGGAATTTAAGAAAAGCTGGCTTCTGAATAAACTGATGGGATTTCATTTCGTACCGAATAATATTTTGGTTTTTATTGAGCTCCTTAAACCTGATTTATAGTTTCTACGGGTTACGGGTCCTCCCCTGTAGTCAAAAACTGAAGTGGCATCTTCGACTTATTTTTGGCATTGAGGGAACCTGCCGCAGCTGGTGGCCGTTGCATCCATTTAGGAGATAGCATCCCATTCGATGGTGCTTCAACTTTAAGGGTACTTGGGCCAAGTTTACAATTCCGCCATTGCCAGTAACCGTTATGCACGTTCTGCCACGTGACTAGGTGTTGCGGGAGGAGGAGCAGCGCTTTCCATGCGAGTCCTCTGGCTCAGGACTCGGCATTTCTAATTGCATTTTTACTTAGTGCCGAGTCGAAAAGTTTCTTTGACTTGGCAATGGCCGGAGGGGAGCAGGAGCTGTGGGTGGATGGGGTCCTGTGCGTAAAGTTTAATTAAACGTGTTTGATTTATGACTTTCTGGGCAGTCGGCAGCTGCAACCGCAATTCCAATTCCAAAAACCTAATGCTTTTATTTTAGCTCGTGTCCTCCTCCACAGAGGAATAGACCGAAAGTTTGCCGCTTTTCCGCGCTTTTCCACGCCGGACCCGAAAACCAGGAGCCTTTATGGCACCTGCAGTTGTGTGGGTGTGTGGGGGTGCACGTGTGTGAGTGCCATGTGCCATATGATTTCCGTTTCCGCTTCCGTTTCAACACACAATTTCCAGCACCTTGCTAGCGTCGCATCTTTGGCCGGAGCATTCCATTAAGCGTTTATTGTTTTCGTGGCCATTAAAGTTGCATTTTCCCACTGCCACTAACACTAACACCCCAGCCACCCCATGGCACTGCCACCCAATAAAAAAAGAAACGAAACAAACACGAAAAGTTTTCCTCAACAAGTTCATCATCAAAGTTATAGCACACAAACAGCAGGTGGGATTCGAAGGGCAATCTAGGCGCAAAGCCCTGGGCTTAGGATTTTGGGGCGCAAATCAGGTCAGGCCACAACCACAAATCTCTGGCTCAATCCATGCTGAAAAATATTCCACGATAATCAACTTGGTACACGTTTGCGAGAGTCCTCATCCTCATCGCCCTCGTCCTGGCCTTTCTTGTGCCTTGTAGGCTTTTTCGCCCTGCCATGCATTAAAATGCCGAAAATGATTGGGAAAATCGCAAAAAGGCGAAAGAAATCCGGAAAAGGCAGCCGCACAAATCTCCGGCCAACATCAACGGGGCCAAGGCGAGCGCCTCGGCGAGAACCTCTGTGTCCCTTATCCATATTTTTTATGGCCCAGGGAGGAAAATGGAAAAAGTTTATGTTAAAGCCACTCTCGCCTTCGCCGATGAACTGTGCGGATAATCGCGGGGCCTTCTGCTCGGCCATTTCCAGTGGCTTAGTTCGGCCCGTTAGCTGTGGTGGTGTTTGTGGGCCAAGTTAATACGGTTCCGGTATCGGTGAGAGCTGGCCCAAAGCCACAGGGTCCTGCCGATTGAAGTTGTTTTTTTTTTCGGAGGCTAATTTGAAAATAGGAAACACGGCTATATGGAGGCTGTTTTTATTGCCATAACCCATACGCCAACATAGCTGTCAACTCTATGGCCCTAATGAAAAGTAACATTCCTAATAAAAAGCAATCACTTAAAAATACATATTAAATTCCTGTCTAACCGAATAACTTTCGGCCGGGCAACGAGTGCCATTTTGTCAGGGCTTTTGTCACAACACACTAATTGGCCAGGTCGCGAAAGGATAAATCCACAAAGAGGCGGCAATACCAGGCACCCACCCAGACCAGGACCTCTCGCCCTAACCCTACACCCCTCCGACCGACAAAATACAACAGTTCGTAGTCCAGTTCATCCATAATCCACTACAAAATGATTTTCATAAATGGCCAAATATGTGCAAAAAAAAGGCAAATATATTTCATTTATGGAATGTTTCGTTGACTTTTTTCTTAAATGAAATTTTACATTTAACATGACCAATTAATGTGCGGCAAAGCCGCAAATAAAACCGCTTAATTACGTGACACGGCCAAAAGGCAGACAGCCTGGGAGGCTGGCAGTCTGGCAGTCCGGCAGTGTGGAAGCCCGACTGCCGGACCAGGCCAGGGACGAGGTGGCCAAAGAGGTAAAATTTGCATGACACGCATCGAAATGAAATAATAATATGGTTAATAAAGCCAGCCGCATCTGATTCATTCACTAGCCGCCGACACCATGCCACAGCTCAGCCGCTCCCCCACCAATTCCCGGCCAGAAATCCTGAATCCAGAATCCGGCTCCAGGCCAATTATCGCACTTATTTCGCTGCTAATTAAAATGCAATTATTTGCTTTAAACAATATAATCCCACTGACTGGCATTTCGATTTATTTGCATATCGAAAAGGTGTCCTCAGATTATTTACCTCAAAACTTTATTTAATTAGGAGCAGTCTTAAAGATTTAAAAAAAAGGATCACATCCTGATTGGAAAGCTTTGTGTGTTATGACTAGCTGCGTTGCTTGTGTTTTATAAATGTTGTTAATCTTGTAATGAATCTAAATCTAAGTCGCTGGATGCCAAGAGTCATCACGGATCCACATCGGACTCCGTAGATGCGTCCTCGTCGTCCTCGTCGTCCTCGGCCGTGATGTGAAGGCGTGGCGCCGAAAAGCTGTTGCTCTGCCTATGTCGTGGACTCGTAGCCGCCACTGATGTAGAGGCGGTCGGCGATGGTGGAGCCTCCAGCACGTACCGGCCCCCGTTGGCGGCCACATTGCGACCCGCTTCCTCCACGAAGTCTGTGATGATTTGCCACAACGGCAAGCGATCCGCCACGCCGCGGGCACGAGCTTGCAATAGGGCAGCGGTGGTAATCATAGTAAAGTTCAGGACGCCTGCGTTGAAGATGTGCAGCCAGGCGTTGATCCGAAGCTGGCTGTCCGACGAGTCGTCACTATGCGGCGGCACAGGGAAGGGCACTGGCATGGGCAGCGGCAGTGGCACGGGCAGCGCCAGCGGTAGCGGCAGCTGCACAGGTGCCATCTGGTTCTGGAGACCGGTGGTCAGCGGCATTGGAGTCGGCAGTGGGCGCGGCACAGGATGACCGTTACTAGTGCGCTTCTGGGGCGGCTTCGGGGTTGGCGCGGAGACCGTCGATGGGGTGAAGCCATTTGAGGTGGCGCTGGCTGGGGTGATGCTGATCTGGGGCTTCGCCATGGCCATGGCCAGGATCGAGGGATAACTGCTGCTACCTAAAGGAGGAAGGATCCACCATTGGAGTTAGAAGGTGCCCACATGAGATTCTAATCATCAAGTAAACTTACCTTGCTGCCCCACAGCCGCGTCGCGGGTCATCCGCTGCTCGGCCCGTTTCACCCAGCCCCGGACGGTGGACTCCGGGACGCCCAGCTCCCGTGAGATGCCGGCCTTGGTCTCGCCGCCTCGAATACGGGCTATGGCACGTTCTTTATCGTCCATGGAAACTTGCACCCGAGGACGCTTGCCACGTGGCACGCCGAATCTTTCCATTGTCGGTAGAAACGCGAAGAAGAGAGCACGAAAATGGAGAACGAACGAAGAAGCGATGAAGAACTTTCGACTGGTTTCGGGAAGTCTACAATCAAGGGCTTTTCACAATTTCACTCGCGTCGCCTTATGCCGGACGGTCTGATTTGCTCGACACACTGTTTTTGACAGCGCCTCGGTTCGAAGGGTTCTGTTCGGGGTTCAGGGCCAGCTGACATTTAAATCGGCGATGTCATCGGCATCTCCGTTTTCTTCGCGTTCGCCACATGCCTCTTTCTACACCGTTTCTCTCCATTCTTTTTACTTTCTTTTCGGCCTTCTTTCGGTCTGGACCCTTTCTGCAGAGCGGCAGGGATGCTTTCCCCTCCGGCCTGCCAACTCGACGCAGTGGCGGTAGCATGCCCATCGAAACCCGAAGCTTTCAGTTTTCACTTTTTATTCATCATCATGTTTATTTTCGTACTTTTATTTATACATTTATTTCTGACGTACACTAAAATATGTGTCCTAATTTCCTTTTTTCTTTTTATTTCAATTTGTGGGTATTTGACTGGAAATACGATCTGTGGCGTACCACTCTCTATTGGGTTTTTACATAGCTCATTGCAACTCGGGACTCTACTGTACCTTCCAGGGTGGAGCACTCTCTGGGTAGGGGTCACAAATTTTGAGGTTAGGGCTGGGACTAGGGCTGGGACTAGGAGGAACTAAGAATTGCTCCTATTAGGATCTTCTATGTCCTTAAGAATCTGTTTCTATCTTGACTTACGATCTATGAGCCCCATTAGGGCTGCAATTTACAATTTTATCCTGGGGCTTGCTCGAGGGATGCCTCGCTCTAAAAGTCCTGCCGCAAATGCCGCATTTGTCGCAATCCGGGGGAAGTTCCATTTCAGTTAAGGTCTAGGTAAAACTATGTGCAAAAAATATACCCTATGTATTGTATTGTATATCGTACATTATATACACATGAACGTGTCTGTGTACGCATATATGCCTGGATTTGCTTGACAATTTGCCAATAATAGTACAATGTATTCATATTGTAGTTTATCAATAATATTAACTAATAAAACCACCAACAATTTTCTTTATCAATATTACTCCTATTACTGTGAATTGAATGTGTATTTTCTTTTTTCTGGTTTCTGGTTGCGTTTTCCACTCGACCAACGTCCTGTCTACCTGTTTACCTTAATTAAAATCTAGTTTCTTTATGCCTTTTTAAAGTATTCCTTTTTCATTTCAACAATTATCACGTGACAATTTATGCTTTAATTAATTTATGCAGGGCAGTTTTAATTTCTTTCCTTTGTGTTTTTTTTTATTTTTGGTTTTTTTTTTTGGATTTGTTTTTCAAACTCTATATGTTTTGTGGGCTTGTGTTTCAGTTTTTTTTCCCCTCGTAGTTTTTATCGTACATTGGTTTTCAATTAATATTCATTAGCTGTCACGTAGAGCAAAAGTTATAGACTCAACCGGCAGAGCTACTTACATAGTTATAGGGATATTAAGGATATCGAACTCTGAATGCGGGAAAGGGGGAATAGCTTTTAGTGAAGAAGGGAGATTGTTGCTTAGCCTGGCAGTGCATTATGGGAGAACTAGTTCCAAACTCAACAGAATCCTTGGGATGAATTGTCGCCAAAATAATACCAAATTAATCCCTCTTACAGGTGAACCTCTCCCTAGTAGTCCTCCTCTAGGTGGTGCCTTCCCTGGTGGCTGGGCGACCTCCTGCACATCCTCCGCAGGATAGCGAAGAGCAGGGCGAACATGAGACACAGTCCCACGGTGATTAGAGCCAGTTTTCCGTACGGCAGCTCGCTAAGGTCCCGCCGCAGGCAGATCTCCGGCGACTCGTCGTGCAGCACCAGCTGCCGGTACTCCCCGGCGTGGTGCAGCAGCCCCAGCTGCTCCAGATTCCACTCAATGTGTCGGGTGAGCTGCGCCAGCGTCGAGGTGTGCGTTACATTCGGGCAGTTGGCGACTCCGTTGCAGAGCAGGTGCCGGGGGATGCAGACCTCGGTGTCGCCGGGGCAGCGGAAGTCGCAGCCACCATCCTGGAGCAAAGAGGCGGCCAGGCTGCCGTCGGGGTTGCGGGGCAGATGGAAGAGCTCCGTCCACACCAACCGGAAGATGTTGCGACCTGGCTGGCCGTCTCCGGTGTACTGGATGAGCACGGGCAGGGGCTCCTGATCGGCGCCAGTAGCTCCCAACTCTGCTGTGGTCAGAATGGGCAGGTCCCGGGCCAGCGATATGTTCTCCGGACAGACCACAAACCGGGGCTCCAGACGCCCGGCCAAATACACCTCAATCTTGGCGCTCTCGCAGCTGCGGTCGGCAAAGCGGGCCTTCTCCAAATTCAGCCACAGGTCTCGCTGGGCGGCCACCTTCAGCTCCCAAATGCACTTCTCGCGGCGGTAGTGGTGCTCTGGAGGCGCCATCGGGCCGGCCACCATGGCCAGAGCCTTCTTGTACGGGAAGACCAGTTCGCCGTCTGGCGAAGGACCCAGGGTGATGGGACCACACAGAGGCCCGTGGGCGAACTCGTAGGTGGCTTCGAACAGGGGATTGGGATTCTTGAAGTAGGACGTGATGGCGTGCTGGCCCTGCACGATCATTTCGAGGTTCATCTGGTCCGCCGAGGAGATGACTCGTACCGCCCTGGGGATGTTGTCGCAGAAGCAGGCCAGGTTATTCTGATACTTGTCCCGCTCCTCCCAGATCACCAGCTTGTCGACGCGCTCCTCGTGGCAGCGGGTGCAGGCGTTGCTGTTGTATGGCAGCTCCTTGAAGGACACGGCGTTCACCTCGATGATGGCCCGGGCGTAAAGCCTCTTATCAGTCACGAACTTGTACTGGCACCTCACGTCGCTGCCGCCGGTGCGCTTGAAGATCAGCGAGTTAAGGGGCGACCGCAACCGGCCGCCAGGGTGCTTCCAGGCGTACATCACCTCGTCGCAGAGGGTGTTGGGAACGGGATCACCGAAGCGGGTGTTGTTAAAGAAGTCGTAGTGCGCCCAGTAGTACAGTGAGCTGCCGCTGTAGCTGCCCGTCTTGGAGTCAAACTGAACGTACAGCGAAGGGCTGGTACTCACAAAGTCCACCTTCTCCATGGGCCGCGAGAAGGTGTCACAGAAGGTCTTGATGATGCGGGCGGGGTCAGCGTGATCCGAGTCGTAGATGGTCAAGGACTCGCCGCAGTCACCCTCGTACTTAAGGATTGGCGACTCGATCCGATTGATGCGGAAACTGAAAAGATAAGGATATTGGGGGGGAGACTATTACTTTAAAAATTCAACATCCATTCGGGCTTAATTTGCAAAGAAATATGTATTTTCTTTTGAAATAACACTCCACTCTTCGTCTGGCTCTTTGCCAGGTTTCCGGCCACAATTCTGGCCGTTCTGCCGGCTCTGCCGCATTCTACAATTTAATAAAAATTCCGCCTGCCAACAGGTAAATCCTGGCCGCCCCTCTGGCTTTCTAAGGCTCCATCGGCCCCGTCTCCGTCGCACACACGTAGCCTCGTTAGGGTTTTTGGGGTCGCGATGTGAGTTGCATTTTCCTCCATCAAATTGCATTCCCAAACTATTTGCGGCTGTGTCAGGAGTGGAGCAGGGAGCTGGGGCGGTTCAAGGATATTTGAAAGGAGTTGATGTGGAAGGCCAATTTTCTGCAGTTTTCCTGCATTACGACCGTTCGACTCTGGGGCGCAAACAGTCGCGCTGGCTCGGCGGAAATAGAAAGATCAAACTCATGAAAGGAAAACGGCAGAGGACATTGTTGCGAAATATTTTCAAATATTTCCAAAATTCAAATCAAATTTTTTCAAACAAAGGGGAGCCAGGCATGTATCTGGAAATGGATATTCCATTTTATGAAATTGTAGTCATAACCATCGAGGGGCCTTCCGAGCCTTACCACAAATTGTTATATAACTCGAGTCCTGTTTAGCCTCCCATGTCCATAAAGCCGCATATCCTTTTCAGAGTGCGGTGAATACATTCTATGCAATTACATTTGGCTCTCTCCAAAAATATGACATAATACAACATTTTATTAACTCACACAAAGTTGGCCCAAAAACGGGGACAGTGAAGGGGGCACGAAGCGAAATCACCATCATCAGCAGTTTGAAGGGGCCAGCGGCATGGGGAGGGCCTACTGGCACGCCCCCTAATCTACGTTGCTGGCAGGCAGCAGTGTGGCACAAATTTCATTTGGTTTCGTTCTTGTTTTTTATGCCCGTGAGTCTCCCCCTCACTATTCATAATAGAGCAGAGTTACTATTTTCCTACTTTTTTTTTTTACCAGCTCACCCCCTAGCCCCAAACCTACTAGCCCCTGGCCACCCCATGGCGCCTCTCGACGTGCCCATACCGTTATTCACGTACGCGTTGTCGAAAAGTAAGCTCCGACACCCTGCGGCATGTCCTCGTAATCCGTTTGCTGCCTAGCCCAGTTACAGTTGATGCAGAGAGAGAAAATATTAATAATACAACATTGGTATAGGTCAGGGGCTTTAAACCTAGCAAAGAAAAATCCATAGCATACTTTTTTGGGCAGAAAACTGGTACATGGTTTTAGTGGTTTAGAGGTTTATTATTGATATCTTTTATTGAAAATTCTATTAATTTTCCTCTCTGTATCTCACAGTTTCGAACTAGCGGTCCAAACTTCCCGTTTTGCTGACTCAGTGGGTGGGGTTGCCACGAGCCAAGGGGACAGAGGAAGTGAATCCTGGGCCGCGCGGGGATTGTTGTCAACTGGTTAGCCCGGTTATGTGCATATGGGAGTCGATTGGTGCCGTGGCCAAAAACCCAAAGCCCACAGCCCAGGGCGTCAGTTTATGTGGCCATAAGGCTTATAAATAGCCCAAGTATAGGCCATGTCTTGCGCATTTCAAGCGGATTTTTGGTACGTTTTCGGGGCTCCGAATGGCACTTGGAGCGGAGCAGGGCGGGAAAAGGTAGTTTGGATGGATACAATTGATTTTATTTAGGTTATTTGGAAGATGGCCTACATGGAGGGATGGGGAATCCAGCCAGAAATGGTACAGGGCTTGCTTTTATTAGTCATTATTGGGTAAGAGTAGATAAAGCAAATGTACATGTTGGCCATCCTTTAAACCTGATTTCATGCTGCGACATTTAAGCGAGCAAGGGGGGAAGGAGAATGAAACGATAGTGGACATTAATCCAGAGTAGTAACACAATCTATCGGATAATGGGGCCCTGAAGCAGACGCTGATGAGTTGTTAGTAGCTAGTAAACCTACATAGTACACAGGCGACCCACCCACT